ATTTTAACTTAAAAAAAAAACACTCCACCTTTATATTAAAGGGTTAGTTTGCAAAATAAAAAATAAATAAATAAAATCTGTCATTTACTCACTCTCATGTCGTTCCAAACCTGTTTGCATTTTCCCTCTTTTTTCTGCAAACACAAAAGAAGATATTTTGAAGAATGTTGGTAACCAAATATTTTTGTTTCCCATTGACTTCCATTGTATTTTTGTATATTTGTTTGGTTACCAACATTCTTCAAAATGTCTTATTTTATGTTCCACTGAAGAAAAAAGTCATACAGGTTTGGAACGATATGAAGGTAGGTAAATGTTGACAAAATTGTAATTTCCTGAGTGTACTATCCTTTTACTTTACCATACAGGTGCATCTCAATAAATTTGAATGTCGTGGAAAAGGTTTAATTTATTTAATACATGAGTTTTCACAATTTGAGTTGAATTACTGAAATAAATGAACTTTTCCACGACATTCTAATTTATTGAGATGCACCTGTATTACACTCTTAAAAATAAAGGTGCTTCAAAAGTTCTTCAACCATTTTTAGTTCCACAAAGAACCACTTAGTAAAAGGTTCTTTAAAGAACCATCTCTTTCTTACCTTTTTGTAATCTGAAGAACCTTCTTTCGCCACAAAGAACGTTTTATCAAACAAAAAAGTTCTTCAGATGTTAAAGGTTCTTTATGGAACCATTTAGACAAAAAGGTTCTTCTATGGCATCGTGAAGCACCTTTATTTTTAAGAGTGTAGTTAATTTGAACTCTAACAGAAAACAAACTCTATGAAGTTCCTAATTTATGTGTAAGAAACAAAGGAAACATGACTAAAAGCATGGCATGCCACCAAATCATACCTTGAAGCATGTCAATGTGTGACGTCTGAATGTGCTGTGATTAATAGAAGAACTGCCACTGATGATTTCACTTTCTTACCAAGCCAAGGAACAAGTGCACCCTGAGGTATTGTAGCTAAGAATCCATTATTCAAGGAGGAGGCTGCAGCTCCAAGCTGCAGAAGCACAGTTGACACCAGGAGGCTCAGAGACCATGCTCAGTTACAATTATAGCTCCTAGTACAGCTAGACTGGAAGCACACTTTAAATCACAGACCTGTGAAGCTGAGAAGACTGGGAAGCTACAAACAAGGGTACAAGCCCACAACCTTTGCTCAAATATTATTTCACCATATTATTTTGGCTTGCTCTCATATCCAGGAACATAACTGTCAGCTGAAGAAAATTTGGACTGATGCATCTATACTTCATTCTTCTGAGCAGCATCCAAACTTAGAAAGCGATGATGTCTGCCTTTGAGGAACACTTAAATGATGCTCCATCATTGCTATATACTTCAGTGCTCTTGCAGCCTCAAGGAGACACTTTCAGAAAACAGAGTTATCTCCTCGGGGAGCAAAAAACACACATAAGAACTGTTTCTCCTCAACAGCAATGAGAATATTTATAAATATTAAATAAATATTTTTGCACATTTTTTCTTCTCAGGTTTTTCTCAAGAAGGAAACAACCCCAGTAATCTCCAACTTCCTCTAGGGTTTTAGAAGTGATCTCATTGTCTCAAACTGTGCTCAGATTTGCCAAGAAACCAAAGTCTGCAATCAAATGTCAGAGTTTCGATATGAACTCACATTTCTCATCAAATTCTTACAAATCATCTGATATTTTTTATCCACAATAGTTTTATAGGCATATATTCTTATTGTATGTCAACAAGCGATTTCTACATTTATGCCAAATACATTATAAGACTTGTGTGTTTTACTGCAAGAGAGTCAAAATGTTGATCTGGATGTTCAAAATCACCTCTGAAGAGTCTAAAAATTGTGTGCCAATTAAGTTATGTTATGATACATATCCAAATAAGTTATGGTATGATAAATAGTGCATGTTAAACACATATGTCACAGTACGCCAAATTTTATGTCAAAACACAAATTTTTTCACATGTGCCATGGACCATGATAGCATTGAACATTATCTTTAAGACATTATCCAGCTCTAGTGGCTGATCTACAAACAATGCTGAAGATAAAAATCCAATTGATGTGAATCTCCTTATGAAAGAATTAGACAGGAAACCTGTCCACTCTCACAATGACAGCACATTTGAATCCGAACGGATGTGCATCACTCGCACGTCTACTATAGAATAAATCATCGGCAGTGATTGGGGATCGATAAGAACAAGGAGAAACATCTACTGAGCTCCGGTAAATGGATCCCAAGTCCATCCAGCATGACAACTGATCAGTCTCCTCCTATTTCTCAAAATACTAATGTAATGTGGCAAGCTATTTTAAAATTGATTACTTAAAACTAGTATGATTTTTTATTTTATTAGCACAGCTTTTTCTTATTACTTTTAAGCAATCCATTATTGACTAGTATCCTTTTTCAGTTTTTAGTGGTAACTATAATAATACAGTAATTATACTTTCTGTATTACAGTAACAAGCATGATTGATTGATTGATTGATTGATTGATTGATTGATTGAATAAATGAAGTACTGTCGTTTCATTACATTTCGGAACATAAAGAATATTGATGCCTCAGTTTTTTGTGGAAGGTCTTCGCACCCTTTCTAGCAATGGCCATTTTTCAACTCCAGATGAACTGGTTTTTCATTACAACCCTGGAATCAAATAGATTCTGAATGTTCACGTGCCATTGAAAACAAGGGCCGTTTCCTTTGTTAATTCTGCTCCGTGGTTCACTCCAGAGCTACGGCAGTTAAAAGTCAAGGGCCGTTGTCTTGAGCGTTTGTATGTCAGGACTGGACCTGTGATAAATAAAGAACTGTACTCTGAGCATATGCAGATATAAGGTAGCTATTTTTACAGCTTAAACAGATTAGTATGCCAGTTTAATTAGTTCTGTTGAAGATAACACAATAACTTTTTTTTTGTGGTAGAAAAAATGTGTAAAAGCCACCGCATTCTTTTCTTTATCATTTGTATTCTGTTGATCTTTGTGAAGCTTTTATGCCAATTTTTTCATAGGAAAATTTTAAATATTCAACAGCAAATTGCTGCATCAAATATAGGTTATTGTGCTTTTATTTTATATATTTGTTCTGACCAACCTCTAATTTCTAATCTTTCCACTTCCACAGAAGCACAGAAGAAGTAGTCTTTTACAGAAGATCATCTTCTGTACTCACTCTTGTTCTCCCTCGAAATTTGCACAACTTCTATGGGGTCTCGAGCCTTAAGTCATGTAGCTCTTTATCTATGGAACTCATTACCACAGTATGTGCGAAATAGCGAAACTCTTATTGTTTTTAAATCTTGCCTTAAGACCCATCTTTTTAGGCAGGCTTTTATGTGATTGCTTGTATGCTTGTTTTAGGTTTGTTTAGGCTGTAATAATTATTGTTGTTTAACCTTTTCAGTGGTGAGTTTAAAATATTCTAGCAGTCCCCCCAGAGTGAGTTTTTTTAAGGCGACCGTTATTTTAGAACGTTTCCCCTTACTGTTTCCATGGCGACGCATCAGGCTTGTCACGTGACACACCGCGGCCACAATAACACTGTATGACAGATGGATCGCTTTTATTTTGTTTTTCCTTTTTTATTTAAAATATTCACAAACTTGCATACCATGTCATGAACAATCTGATATTCCGATTCACAGATATGTGTAAATGAGTGTGTTTGTCATTTAAAAACCTTTCTTTATGATCTTGATCGTGATCTGTATTATAAGATGGGCACCACCATGTTTGTTCGCGCTGCAGTTCAGAGTCCTGTCAGTTGGATTTACAGCACGTGAATTCATTAATTTCTCCCGAAATACAAGTAATAAGTGGCCGGTGAACTGGGAGAAGAATAGAGTGAACTTTATAGTTACTTACACTATGTGTTTCTGATATGAATAAAACACATCGGCAAATTGAATTTGAATGGATTGTTATTGTTGCTTCCATAGACATATGTGTGTATTTGTCAAACTCTAAATGTATTGTTTTACTAGTACTTATGTGTATTTAAATGTCTGAAACCTAAAATGTGCATTATGTGGTAAAGAACACTGCATCGTTGTGATAATATGACAAAAGCAGTGCACGTCTCTCTCTGGCTCAGCGCCAGCTAAAGCGCGAAAGCACAGTTTGATTTTGGCAGTTATGTGACATCACCGAATGTTCTAAATCCCATATGTGGGACCGTACTCCCAGGGACACGGAAATAAAAATCCCATATGTGGGACCGTACTCCCAGGGGCACGGAAATAAAAATCCCATATGTGGGACCGTACTCCCAGGGGCACGGAAATAAAAATCCCATATGTGGGACCGTACCGCTCAAAGGGTTAAGGTTGATAGATTCAATGTAAGGTGTCCCTGAGTGTCATGAAAGGCGCCTATAAATAAAATGAAATAATAATAATAACAATAATACTACTACTACTAATAATAAAAATATGTAGACTAATAAATAAGCATAATGACTAGTATTACTAGCCACTGTTAACAGGCTATATGTACTAGTAATAGTTTGTGAACATGAAATAGGTAGATACTAGTCACTACTGGATAACTAGAAAATTAATAAAAAGAAATAGTACAATAAAACAGATACTTGTCCGTTTAAATGTTAAAATAGCTTGCCATAGATGTAAAGATCGTGGGAGTATGTTTAGAAAAGCCGTAGCAGCCTGCCAGTGGGATAGCGTGTAAATAATGTCTCCCTTACTACCTTCTTGACCAATAAAAACAGCATGAGCTATAATAAATGGCATTTCAAATATCCGCAACTGACTTGTGCTTAAATATAGTTGCTGAAAAGTAATCATGCGTTCTGAGGTTAATTTCAGGACATGTTGAGACGCACAACAAACATTTTGTTGTAAACGAGTCTTTTAGGGTAATTCTGTGACGTGCCGAATTATAACCGTTTTTATTTTGCCTCCCTGACCTGCTGGAATAGAAAGTTAAACAGCATCATTCACAAAAACAGAGATTCTGCGCTCTGCCACTCACCTTTGACGAGATGCGGGACAGCGAGGTGTACGCAGAGGGCGATGGAGACGAGCCACGGTCCCATCATCACCGAACAGCAGCCACGAGTTCCAAGATTACAAACGTTCAACGGTACAGACGGCTAAAACTTCTGTCTTCCACTGAGCTACACGCAAAGGTCTTCGACTAAGTATTTCCCAGGACAGGTGTCAGTTAAGTCCGTGTTTTTCTCCCAGGAAGGGTCAGCGAAGATGAGTGATCCTATCAGGAGTTCCTCTTGCCCTTCTGCTGCAGTGGAGCACGGCGAGATAACGGAGAGACTCCGCGCGGGTTCCGATCAAGCGGTGATTGCGCGCGGCAGACGGTCAGTGTAGAGCTCGAGCAGCGGCGCTGTCTTACTGATAAAGACGAGCCTCGCTCCTCCCCAGCAGCCCTGGAGCCTCCAATACACAGAACGAACGGCGAAACCCAAAAGGGTGGGAGTGTACTTCGCCCCAGGAAAGACGCTCTTTTTGCTCTGATGTAGAACAGGTACAGCGGCTTAACTGTTCTGACCTCCCTTCCGACCACAAATTTATCACACACTCTCTCTTCACTCTCTGTAGGTGAGATAGTGGGATGCCCCTGTAGGGGAGACCGGGGATGGCTGTAACAATTTGTGCTTAACGTGGGCTATTTATTCAATTCAATTTAAGATTATTCGTACAGCGCTTTTCACGATACAAATCATTGCAAAGCAACTTTACAGCAAATTAATTTCTACAATATTTAGTGGTAGCTTATCGGTGGTGACTGTCAACGTACATATGGCAGAAATGTACGGAAAACAGCAATTATTATATGATGCAATCAAACGTATAGCAAAATGTGGTAGTTCTGTATGTTGTTTCAGTCAATTTATCTAAAACTTTGGCATGTTCATCTGCTACGAATTAAGTACGAGTACTTGTGTTAACCCACCTTCTGGGTGAGTTGTGTTGCAACAGTTGAAACATTTTAATTGTATGCATTCATTCAATGCCATTGTGCCATCCCTTTTAACCACTATAATCCAAACCCACAATCACTTAATTTTAAACATATCAAAGTAAAACTGGTAAACAAATAGGCCTATGTCTTTAAAATAGAAAATATAATTGCAAATGTATATAGAGGCTAACAACTCAAAACATGAAAGCAGAGCTCAAGAATAATGTTTTTGTCCAGTTTATGGAACAAAGTAATAACAGGTTTAAATAGGGTTTTTTGCTTTGTGTGTTTGTTTTTGTAAAAAACACCAAAAAACAAAGGTCATCATTTGCTCACACTCATGCCGTCCCAAACCAGTATGAAAGTATGACTTGAAACATAACAGATGTGTTTTGAGAATTTTTTTTATTTATTATATTTTATTTTATTTATGTCTGTTTGTTGGTCACTGGTCAATAAAAATGTCAATGGTAACTAAAACTGTTTGGTTCCCAATATACGATTCCCTGCGTGTGTGTGTGTGTGTGTGTGTGTATTCCACATAACAGAATAAAGTAAGTCATACAGGTTTGTAAAGACATGAGGGTAATAGTAAATGACAACAGATTTGTGTTTTGAGAATTTTTTTTATTTATTATATTTTATTTTATTTATGTCTGTTTGTTGGTCACTGGTCAATAAAAATGTCAATGGTAACTAAAACTGTTTGGTTCCCAATATACGATTCCCTGCGTGTGTGTGTGTGTGTGTGTGTATTCCACATAACAGAATAAAGTAAGTCATACAGGTTTGTAAAGACATGAGGGTAATAGTAAATGACAATAGATTTCATTGTATTTTTTTGGATAAACTACCCCTTTAATGAAAAATATTGTACATATACAGTAAAAATACATTGCTAATTTTTTTTTTATGTTAGCGGTGGGGAAAAATAAACTGCTGGCCCAATTGTGTGTGTGTTTGTGTGAGTTTGTTAGCCACTGTCATAAAGTCAATACAAAATCCCAATTTGTGCAGTCTTTGTGGGTCCAGTAAAAATACACTGGAAAGTGTTACAACCCTCGTGTCCTCTCAACCAACAGAAAAACAGAAAAGATTATGGTGCTACAACACACTCCATTCTCCCTATACAAATCTTTATGCTATTCTGGTAGTAATCTCTATTTTAAGGGATAAGTACTTATTGCACTTAGTAATTCCATTAATTTAACAGACATGCAAATTTGTGGAGTATCTCTTTGAATACCTGAGTCGTTGAAAGACCGTGGTGTACTTTAATCCCACATTAAAATATAAAACAATTTAAAGCAAACCCAAGCTGTCAATTCACCACACCACATTATACCCTTCATTAGTCTAAAAGGAGCTAAATCTTGTGTAACAAATCATCCACTGAAGGCGAGCGTAAGTGAGAACCCAAGTGCAGTTTATTTACAGGTGATATCCAAACAAGAAACACAGACTTGACTTGACTTGACTTGACATGGCATGGCATGAGCAGACTTGACATAAACAGACTAGACTCACCAACAGCAGGTTAAATACATTCAATACACGACAAGGCACAATGGGAACATGATGGCTACTTATAGCAGACAAGGAGGGTCACATGACATGAACAAACCAATGGGAAACAAGACACATGACTAGGACTACCAATCAGAACATGACACATACACAAGGCAGAGATACATGAGGGCAAAGGAAGCATGACACCGACAGCATGAAACAATTACAAAATAAAAGACATGGAAAACATGAACATGAAACAAAACACCACATTACATCTTGATGCTGACTGGTTCAGTTGTGGATGGAGTTTGGTGTGACTACTTATCCAACATGGCCTGCACAATTAACTGCCAGTCCCTGGTGATTTGATTCGACATTTAATTAATTACACACAATAAAGTGGAGCATCTTCATACACATCACATCACATCAGACACAGCTGTTTAACAGCATCCAAAAATTGCTAAACCCTTTTCTAATCCTCCAAGGGGTACTTTAGAGGCTTATTGCTCTTCCTGAATGTAATGTATAAAGAATAATAGCTCATACCTTCAGGGACACCTCTATACATACTTTGTTTCACCTATGAATAAGACATGTAAATGCTAAATACATTTATAGTGCTCTACTGCGATAACCCTATACAAAACAGAATAACTGTGCCATACGTTCAAGCAAGAATGCAGAAATATGGATTATTGACTTGCAGAAAGGTGTACTAATTACTTAACATCAGGATTCAGATTTGCACTTGTCCCTCTTTGAAAAAAAAACAATAATGCTAAAATACTCAGTAATACCTGTAAAAGTTAAAATAGTGTTTCAATAGCATAGAAACAAGATGTAAAAATTAAATAAAATGATATGTAAAGTGATATACATTTTACTTATTCATTGCCATGACAATGTAACTTCTAAAACCCTAAAAGTACTGTAAAATAATAATAATTTATGCAATTCATGTAGTATCTAATTTAATATGTATTTTAATCACCCTTTTAACAAAATAATTAAATGTAAGTGATTTTTTTACAAATGATAAACTACCTTTTCAAAAACTGGCTCCCCATTTATTTCTATTGCATGTGCTTCACCTTGATTTTTGCTCCTTTTTAAATAAAAAAATAAATACACGCATACAAATGTTGTTGGAGCTTTACTTGTATCAATTAAACATGGAATATTCCTTTAACGCGACAATTCCTTTGTTTCTATGAATAATAGCAAATTGCTGGATTCTTCTGTGTCTATTGCCTATACAGCATACTGTCAAATATGAAAAAATGACATACAGTAGGATTATGACTGATATTTTTATATCTAATGTATATACCACCTTGACCTGTGGAACGCTCATTGTTGTCCATTTAAAATATATCTGAATGCATTAAAGAACCCTCTTAAGCATTACTTGAGAGATTTGTTTTAATCCTCGGAGTCCTCTTCTAGAACTAAGGGATTTGAATAGTCTTTTCAATGTTTTTTTTTTTTCTTGCCTTCAATCCATCCTTCAGCTGCCTGTTTTTTTTGTTTTGTTTTTGTTTTTGTCTTTTTCCATGTTCATTACTCTATTCACTCTTTCAAACCCTACAGCACTAAGAGAGGAGAGGCAGGGAAGACAGAATTAGAGACACTGCATTAATTCACCAGAGAATATTACTTTTGTCTTCCTGAGCAGCAGTAGGACACAGCAGTGCAATACACTCCCAAAAGCCCCCAAGCTCCTGCTTCAAAGGGGAGACGCTCAAAACTGTCTGCGAATCATGATCTTTAAAATATACATTTGCATCAGTGTTTCCACAGGCTTGGGAAAGCGGATCCGGCAAAGACTCCATTATGTTGGAGTGAGGGTGTTTTTTTTTTATTTTTCCGTAAATGTGCGAGACCATAATAACTGTGCTCTGCCACTGTGCTGTGTTCTTCATCTGTTCCTCTGATGCATCAAGCCAAAGAACTCTGTAGAAGTTTTTGAGGCACTTGGCCTAAATTAAGAGGAATCTGCACTTTCAATTTTAACTGTGCTTGAAAGTCATATTTGTTTGATTTTGCTGACCTCTGGTCCCGTGATGCATTTATACCAGTTTGCTGGCTGTCAGACACTGAACCATTGAATGAAAATGTTGTTCTACTTTGTGTCCCCAATAGACGGAGCAGAGGTTATATTATCCCCCATTTAAACAAGCCAAGAAACATAGACGACTGGAATCCATGTGGTTTTCCTGCTTACTGTAGAGCTACTGGAAACTGGGATTTTCTACTTTGTCCTCATTCTTCAAGCACATAGTGGCAAATGATGCCCTATGATTTTAGCAAATGGCTGCAATATAACAAAGAGTGAAAAATTTAAAGGGGTCTGAATACTTTCCGTACCCACTGTATATCAAGGGCGTTTCCTCCTCAAAATATTTGATGAGAAAAAATTCGTAGTAAAAATAAATAAATTTTTATTTTTCTAAAGAAACATTGTCCAACAGCGAGACCAGCAGGTAAAGTTACAACGGGATTCCATATCTCTCTCGCCTCCACTGAGCCCATTGAGTTTTAACAGATCCCCTAAAGCATGCCATGAGTTTGCTGGGGGGTAATTGAGAATGAATGGGCGAAAGTCACGTGAGAGGGGGCAATGCCTCCATCGCGATATAGTTGGATATGACTGTTATGTTCGGCTGTGATTGGTTCATGCGATAAATCCCTCCTCTTGTGTTCGTGTGCGTTTGCAAATCAGTTTGAGGCCCTGTCCCAAATCACACCCTAAACCCTTGCTGTCTTCCTCAGAGTCCACACTTTCGTGACGTTATGCTGTCGGGCAGAAGTCTGCTGCGGAGCTCGCCTCAGTGCGGGCTCGGCAAAAGTGCGCAACGAGGGTGCATCATGGCCACAAAGGGGGTGCTCGCGAGCACCCTTCTGAAAGCTAAAATGATGAATGGGACACCATATGGTCTTGTGGACTCAGTGGACATGCGCACAAGGTGGCCATTGTAAGTCCACATGAAGTGTGCCATTTTGGGACAGGGACTGAATTAACAATATAATGACATTAATGGGAAAACTAATTTTTATATTTATAACTTATG